AATGGAATAGCAGCAAAACCATATTATAATTCCTACCAACACTGGGAGGTTGACTTGTGCTTAATTTTTTTTCCAGCTGTCACTACCTCAGATAAAAAGCTTTTCTGACAGACTGATAGAAGGATGTGATAGTGGTAAGCAGAGGGAAAATTGTCCTCTCTCATGGAGGTCCTCTCTACAGAATGTGATTAACAGAGAGAAACCTCCAGACAGAGCAACCTGATGCAGTTTTCACAAGATTGTTCCACTGAGTGAAAGTGGTAGAGGCCAAGTTGCTACTCTAGGATTAACTCCCAAAATTCATTGATCCTCAAAATCTTGAAGGATCCACTGCCAGTCCCACATCCCACAAAAGTCCTGTGTTTCTACACCGATTCCAATGGATACCCCTGCCACACATGGCATCAAACAATCTCCTAAAAGGGATACAGAAGTTTTACAGCATGGAAAATGTCTACTTAAAAGTTAAGGGATGAGGAATAGTGAGAGTGCCAGAGAGGCAGCTAATATACCTACCCTGTTAATGGAAAGATGATCCACTTCAGGCATGGATCTTGACAGGGGAATAGGGAATGGGGTAATATGATCAAGGTTTAGGTTATTAACTAGCTTCAATACTGGCTGAGACTGCACTTCTTATACCATACAAAAGGTAATGACTCATTTTCAAGGATGCCAGGTGTCCTTGAAAATAAAAATCGGTCCCACATAGCCAAGTGAAGCATCACTTAGTTAATACACAACACAAAGGAAACAATCAACTGAAACAATGACATTGCTGTGTTCCGATTCATTGTAAATCTGTAGCCTCATAATAAGATTATACATTTACAAGTCTGTAAGTGAAAAGAATGAACAGTCTTGCAATTAAATTTTTGAAAGTATATTTAAAGCACAGCTGAACACAGGCTAGTACTTCTCTGTGCACCCTCAAAGTACAGCCTTTTAGCACCCAGTTATGGTATAAGGTATCTCTTTGAATAGTACAGGGCACAAGTTGTAGAAAAAGGACTCTCACCTATCTAAACTTCTGATTAGCCCAATGCAAATGATCATTTAGAAACACTTCCTGCTTTTTATTTTGAAAGAAAATTATTAGTCCCCTAAGACAGTCTATATATACACAAGCAGGAACAGAATTTTTTGGGCAATGTCCCTACTCACCATTGTGTCTTCTATTCTATCACAGCTTTGGATGTGCTTTTTAAATAGGCCCATTCAGTCAGCATATGAGGATTCCCATAGATTTTGTTTTCTATTCCTATTATCTCCATTTTAGTAAAAAAAAAAATTAAATAAAATAAAAAAAAAAAAAATGTTTTCTCCAGACTAAGCACTCTGCCTCCTTCATGACTGACACCAATATTGCTTACTAGGAAGTGCTCAAGAAAGGGGACACAGCCCTAATGTCACCCTTATAACACAACAGAGAAACACACGGAAGTCCACATTAACTCTGTACAAGCATCTATCTCTGTAGTGCTGCTATGGTCTATTGGCACAGTGCCAGCTTACTGCTCAAATGACTATAATATGAATTAGTACTGCCACCAGTGAGTAATATCCCAGTCTCAGTTGAACCAAGAAAAGTTCCTAATTATATTTTTTAATAAAGTGAAAGGTGTACAAAAGATTTCCATTAGGCAAGCTGTATCAATATCACCTTGCTCTCTACTTTTCATCCATATATCTCAACAAGCTGCACTTGAAGGATATAAATATATTCCCCACTGGATAGAAGAGGCAACAGATGAGGAAATAGGAAGCGACTCACCCTAAGTCAATAGTAAAGCCAAGAACCTTGAATCCCCATCCCACAACCCATGCAATGAAGCTTGCTTCCCTATTATGAGAAAGCCACTGCCATTAGGTAACAGATTTTTGATGGCTCATTAAGTGGTTAAGATCATTCCACTGTATATTTTCACCAAACAAGTAACAATTCTGTTTAGTCACAGGCTTCATGTCAAGCTGATGAGATGTATAATTTTCCTGGTGTGTCACATCTAGCACAGTGAATTTTCACATTTAATTGGCTAAAACGCTTTGGTGCATCATTCACAGTTCCTAACAGAACATATCCAATTAGCATATAGTTATTGCTAGGTGAACTGAAATACAAAAAGTTCGTTTTTTTACTGCTTGGAGTGCTACATATCAAGATCACAGTAAAAGAAAGCAGCTTTGATTCCACCTTCCTTTTTCCACATCCTGTTACATTGCATAAAGACCTGCATATAATTGTTTTGGGTTTGTTTTGGGTTTTTTAAACTGGCATGTCCACCTCTAGTTTGACATTTGAGAGGTCTGTGACTATACTGCTGTAGTGAAACAGATGTGGAACTACATAAATAATAATGCACTTCAACTGCCTCCCCGCCTTCACCAATCCTCAATATTATAACTTCTGGCTTAATGAAAAGAAAATTCTAGTTAAATGCAATTATTGACTGTGCCTAAACAAGTTAGCAGTCTTCTTTTGAACATGTAGAACCAGATGTAGGTTTACAGGATTCTCTATTTTTTTTTAAATTTAGTTCCCTCTGATCCCTGGCAAATATTAATAGTCTGATAACCATGTCTCTGGAAATGCCTCCCAGCTGATATGAAGAGCTTTCAAGGTTGGGAGAGGAAGATATGTACAATGTATTTTTGTGTTGACAAACAGCTCCAGAAAAAGTTTAGGTAAGCATTTTTTAAAGTTACCTTTTTCTTTCAACTGGTTCTCAGTGAGAATGATTTACTCTCTCAGTCCAAGAAAATGTCCAAATGTTCCTGCAACATACTGTAACCATCATTCTAAACAAGATTTCTCATGGGCATATTTCATTTTCCATAAACACACTGGACACAAGTGAGTTTATTAAGCTACAATCATTTGAAACAGATTAAGAACTAGCAATTTTTGTTTCTGATATTCCTGTGTATGTACTGCATGTGTTTGAGTCAGTGAACATGCCCATAATAAAACTGTATGTTACCATACTGAACCCAACTGATTCCAGTACCAACCTTCTAAAGCAATTTGAAATACAAAACATGGAAATGAACTAATATGATTATAGATTTGGTTTTAATTTCTGACAATACATCTATTCTTTTACAGAGAAGCAGACTACCTTACATTTAATGTGCACTGAGTTCATGTAATTAACAGCAGGGCAGTTATTGTGATGTATATTCAAACTATAGTTTAAACTGCAATAATTTTCACTCGCCTGCAAGCCCCAAAAGTGTAAAAGGCTTCATATTTGGATAGATCAGAAACCCTGCTCCATCTATTGAAATCTTTTGTAAACAGGCTTTAATGACTAATAATTCATACACAAAAGATCAGTTTCTTTATCACATTTACTGTTTTAATACCAATATTAACAAAAATAAAACTTAGAACAGCTGTCTCACACAGCAATTTCAGTTCAGCTCCTTGATGAAGCTTTACAGTCACATTCATTCTGCATGTTCTGTCACATAATGAAACAGGTTCATGGCCTCTGATCCCATAATCCCACAACAGTCTCCTATCAGTTTACTTATGATTATGGAACACACATTACTTCCAAGCAGTTTCAAAGGGTAATGTACCAGCTGTTTCCTCTACCCCAGAAACCACATCAGCTTTCAGTATTATTTTCAAATTTCAGCATGTCCTTTTTCTATAACCCAGAGAAGGGTGCTCAATTTCATCTACTTGACAGCAGAACGTACAAACTTGATATCACCACAGCCAACAAGTCTGACTGACTTTGGGTGTGGACACACAAACATTTGGAACCCTTTCAAACCTTTGGAAATCTTTCAAAAAGGCATAATTGGTATGTGCTTATTAGATAAAAACTAGTCAAAATGTAACAGAACAGCTCTAACTTTAACACTACTTCCAGCCTCATAGGAGGAGCAGTTTTTCTACATTTGAATAGTTCTCCGCTCCTGCACACACATTAAACATCAAAGCTGCTGCCTTCTTTTGAAAGAGTTCCAAATATACATGCGTCCGCACACTTTGTATCTCACATTATTAAAATAAAAGAGCTTTTCCCAAAACATATCCTGCTTACAGCTTTCCCATGCTAAACAAGACAAAAATAAAGATTTTTTTTAAATAGCTGAAATGTTAAATGCAGTCTTTTAAAACAAGCTGTTTTATATCCCACATAATTATGAGTACAAGTATAACTTTTTACAACTAAGTATATTTTCCATCCAGTATTTTTTCCAAACACTAAGCCCAGCCCCACTGTATCCAAGGTGGACTAACTGGCTTTCTATGCAGTCTGCCCTATGAAGAAACCAATACAATTGCTAACGGACCCAGTCTTGTAACCCTTACACATACAAACAGGTCCAATCAAGTAAATTTTACCATGCTTGATACTAAGGCGGATGATGTGTTAGAACTCATGACTTTACTGGGTATTGAGTCCTGAATAGGAGCTACATGATGTGTGCCTCGTGTAGATCACTGAGGCAAAAAAACCCAACAATCCAAGTTTTATTTAAGTAAGGGTCAAAGATTTTAGTTCTTAAAGCAAACTACTGAAGTCCTTATAGTTTTGGCTGTTAGGGAGATGAACTCTAACTGGACAAACTCCCCCTGCAATAGTATTAACTCAGGTCTTGGTGTGTATTAAAAAGAAAAGAAAAGGAAAAAAAGGGGAGGAAGGCAGGACTTTAAAATATTTGGCTCGCAAACGCAAACATATTGATGAGTTTTCCATCTTTTGCTACTAAAGTGGGATCTTAAAAACAGCCATTTGCATGGATTTTATTTTACATATACATTTAAGTTTTATTTTAAAATGCAGTCCAAAAATACTGCTCATACAATAGCATCCAAACCACCAGTTTTATATTGCATTTCTCTGATGGTAATTATTTTACACCAACTGAAAGAGAACCAGACTCAAACATGCACAACTACTAATCATCATCTTCTTCATCATCAAATGAGAGAAGGCTACTATTTTTGATCTGCTTAGCTGCATTCGGAGAGATTTTTGGTTCACTCCTATTTTTCCTTGACTCTTTTATCTTCTTACTTGAACTTGCAGTCAGGCCCAAAAACTTTTCTTCTGATGAACGCTTTGATGGCTTCCTGAACACAATTTTTCCATCAGAAGGTTCTGGTTCTTCATCTATAAATAAAGATTGCAAAATCAGAACTGCCCTTCACACATACATGGTGATTTACTAATGTCTCTTTTTCCCCAAACTAAAACTGACACAAGACCCTAGAAATTGAAAAAACAACAAACAAAAAATAAAAATAAATTAAAGTTCACCAAAATGAAGTCAAGGCTTTGCTGTAAAAACATCATGAGCTAATCCTCTTGGGCTAGGGACAGAAATTACACATAAAATGGTATAAATTATTGGAAACTGGTTCAAATCTGTAAGACAACAGAAGTTCAGCGCACATAAACCTCTTTCAAAATGGCCAAAACCAGTTTAAGATAAACCTGGATGGATGTAGTATCAGACTTAACCGACTTAGGTTAAATCAGTTTATTGAACTTGTTCCAGATCCCCTCCAGATTCAAGTTAACTCACAGTCACCCAGCATGCCAGGATACTTTACATGTCCCTTGCGAACCACCCTCACATGGTGGGTGGGTAGTGTTGGCCCAAGCTGTCTGCTCCAGCCCAGCAGGGAGGCATGCTCTAGTGCCCCCCACCTTCTGGCCTGGGCCACTGCAAGCATATGGCCTCATTTCCAGAATCAAAAGTGAATGTCTGTTCACTTGCTTATTGGTTCAATCTATGCATCTTAGATTAACCTGCAAAGATTGAACCGATTCAGCCTCAGACTTTTTTACTCTCTGTACTTAACCTTGAGGAAAAACAGGACTGCTCTGTGGTGTGCACCCACCTAATAGCCTGAGAAATCCCTTCTCTCATGGTTGCTGTAGTTATCCTACTCACGCCAACCAGAGCTTTCGGAACACAGGACTGCAAGAGGCTTCATAGGCTATAACCTGCAAATGTAGGGGACTGGATTCAATCATGTACCAAGGGAATCTTCAAAGCTGCTATTTCAAACTGTCATACACCTACAAAGTGCAATACTAAAAAAAACCCAAGAAAGTCTTCTAACATACTGTAGTTGAAAGAAGGAGAGATGGTGACAGTCAATGCCCTACCACCTGGGCAGGAACAAGGGAGATGGCAGAGCTAGCCACCACCGCTTCCACATGATCTAGCTCCACATGTGTGGAAGGAAAGGACAACCTCCAGTTCACCTTTTGCAAAAACATAATACTGCCTTCAATATTTCACAATATGCATCTCTAAAGAGCTAAATTCCTATCTTTGAGGAAACCTTTCATTTACTTCTATTAACTTCGTCCCATTGCTAATTTCAGATGATTAAGGGGAAAAAAGCCCCCAAATCTTTACCATTTTCCTCTATGTACAACAATGTTCTACTGTCTTTTCATTTTTTACACTAGGTGCCGGGTGTAGGTGCGTTTATATTGTCACCATGCTGAACACATGAATTCTGCTCATCCAGATGTGTAAAAGAAGATGTGTGCACTTAAAATGAGAGGGAGATATTCTGACATTGCCAAGGAAACACAGAAGAGCTACTACATGAACATATCTCTGAAACATTCTGATAAAAGTAAAGTCAATGAATTAGAAGCAAAGGCTTATGCTGCAGTGGCTTGCAATTCACATGATTTGTAGATGAAAGGCATTTAAGAACCAGTGCTTCTCCGGCACAATGCATTTTTTTAACAAAGTAAAATAATTTGTTCTAAAATCAATTTTGCAATCGAAACTTCCTGGTGACAATAGTAGTGCTTGACAAGGCTGTGGTTTATTGATTCACATTTAACAACGACCTCCATGCCACTATAATATCAACACACAGGGATTTTTTTCCCTGTTCCCTTTCTTACTTAAATACATATGATCTGTAGCAGAAGTTGTTTTTTTTATCAGCATTATTGCAGAAAACATCATAAAGACCTAGCTGAAAGTTGACCAATAATCAGAACATGTTCTGACTATAAAAATCATGACATTAATTATATTAGTATTTTAGGTGCCAAATCAGGTATGCATCCATACAGATCAGATCAAGACCTCAGTTTTTAAGTAATTAAAAAAAAAAAAAAAAAAAAATCAAGGGAAGCTTACCTTATCAACTCTCACCTTCACAAATCTTTCCTAGGAACAAGCCTGAGCTTTAAGAATTAAGACCTCCAATCAATTCTGCAAATGACTACTATAAGAGTAGGTACTATGGCCATGCACTTCTGCAGGAGATAAGTCAACTCAGCAGCTTTTTTTCTTGGAAGAATAGTGCTTTTACATTCTTAAAGCATTACAGATAAAGGAAAATATTCAGATAACTTACCGGAATAATATATACGTTTCTATAAAACTTGTCAAATGTAAGTACGTTCATCAGCAGACCAATCATGATTTTTTTGAATATAGGCAGTCCTTGACTTACAATGTTTCGCACTTATGTTTATAATTGACACCCTGTTTCAACTTTTCAATGCCAGTTTTGACTTTACAATGCTTGATCCAATGAAACGCCATGCCAGTGAACAAGTTCACTGCATCGCTCATCTCCTTGGAGAACATCTGTCCAAACTTCCTTGGACACTTTCTTTAAGAAAGCAAACAAGACTCCAGAAAAACCTGCAGCTAAGACTCCTGAGAAGACTCCAGTGAAGAACCCTTCAAAAAGTCCAACCAAGAGCCTTTCAAAAAGTCCAGCAAAGTCGCCTCAAAGAAGTCCTTCCAAATCAATGTGATTGCTATTTACAATATAAATACATTCATGTAGCTATATTACTCATCTATAGTTGAACGAGTACAACATTCTGGGGTATTTTGGGTGAAAACGGTATTGGGCCTTGGTTTAGGAATCAATCCCCCATTTATAACATTATTTCTTATGAGAAAATTGGTTCTGAGTTACAATGTTTTGACTTAAGACGTGGTTTTCAGGAATCAATTGTGTCGTAAGTCTGAGGACTGCCTGTAAAAGTTTATGTTGTATGTATCAGTGTTTACTAATTTGCCCTATATTTAATAGGCAATTCAAGACTAATTTCAGTATAGTTCTGGATGGTGGGTAAAATTTTGTAAGGTTTCCAACAAAACATATCATGCCATTAAACTAACAAAATACAGACTATATCATCCCCCTTGGAAGTTATGTAATGGTTGCATACCACCATCTACCTGTTTTGGAACATGATCTCCAAAGCTTGATAATGAAATATTACTTTTACATCTGGCAAACAGAGCTATAGTCTTTTAGGAAATACAGGTTTCTTGTATTTAAAAAAAATATCTATTTCCACAGCAGGACATTACAACTAATCTATTGTCTCAGTCTTGCAAACACCGATCTGCCCAAAATACTTTTTTATGCATGTATGTAAAGTGCTTGAAGGATCCTGGCTTCTATGCATACCAGTATCCATATATGTGCCAGCACAGCTATGAGAATACAGCTCATCAAAGTGTTGCTGCTGCTGCAGCATTATAACAAGGTATTGCCATTAATGTACTTTTGTGATCCTTACCTTTATGACAAGCACTTAGTACCTGGGACAGAACAGCTTAAGTATGAAGGTGTTACATCATGCTGAAATGCCTCGGGGTGAAATTCACTATTTAAACATTACATGGAGAGAAAGCAGGTGTCCGTCTGATGAAAATTTTAACTGCCCCATTAAATCACGCGACTATACAAACTTTTTATGCATAAAGCATTTAATAAGTACAAAATTGCTCCATTATTTTCACGTTAAGGAAAATCAAATTGGTTACACCCGTGTGCATTTTGATTCTCAATGTGAATCAGAGTAGGAGAATTACCAACTTATTTCATGAGCGTTTGAACCAAACATATAATTGATACGTAGTGAACGAGCAAGAAATGTATTCCTTAGATAGGCAAAGATATGGTAGACTACTACTGCTTCAGTGCAACTGCAATCGTGACTCTGTTTTTCCGCCAACAGTTTGATAAAATAAAATAACGCATCTTAAATGGGAAACCACAATTTGTTTTCCCAACATAACATCCAAGATCTGTTGCAATTCCTCCAGTAATGTCACTACTGTGGATGTTAGTAAGAACATTCCAGGAGTCTGTATACAAACTAGATAAGATAATGTCAGTCTGACTACAGTACATCCTCTGTTATCTCAATGGCAAACCGGTAGCATTAACTTAAAATAAGCAGTGATTACAAGCGGCCTCGTAACTAGCAACCTAGCACTCTAGTAATGTTACACCATACGCAATAGATTTCCTTGCTGACATCACAAGGGGATCTATTTACATAAACCAATCAGACAACTTGTTAAGAAAGATGACTTTGAGCTTTTGCAGTTTCACTCATCTGCACAGCTTTAGGCAAATGCTTTCAAAGCAATCTGAATACCAGAGAACATACTGTAGTTTCCAATGGAGAAATTCTATATAACAGAGAAATATAGCAAAATGATAAAATAAGGAATCAAAAATTACAAGTGCAATTTCAAGTTCTGATTATAATTTCTGGCAAGTCAATACACCTTTGTACTTCCTTCCAAGAGAGGTTCCAAGAAGGGTGCACCAGTGTGGGCACTCCCTACTTCCACTGCTGCTGCCATCTCCAGCTGACCCAGATGCAGAGAAAGTCCGTGAGCAGTTCCTGCCCCACTTCACTCACAGGCTGCAGCCATGCAGGTGTTGTGGGGGTAGTGGCAACAAAAGGCACGTTTCCTCTTTCTGTATTTGCTGTTTCCCATTGTGATCCCTGCTGGCCAGGAACAGATGCTGGAAGGAGGAATGGTGCGTTCCTGTTACCACTGCTGTCCCCAGCAGATGCAAACACAAGGGGAAGGGTGAGGGAGCCAAGACAGGAGGGACATGAACACCCTCTCCTGCCCCACTCCAGCTGGGGCTCCAGGGAGCAGCTGCATGGAGTGATGGGTTTGGTTGGGGACAGCAGCAATGACGTGCAGGTTCCCCCTTCCAGTGCCTGCTCCTATCCAGCAGAGGACACTGTGGGGGGTACTGGCCAAGGAGCAGAGGCTGGAAAGAGGAACTTGTGTGCCACCACTCCTGTCCCTGGCTAAGCCTAGCAGCCTGTGCAGCTGTTCCTTGGAGCCCACAGCTGGAGTGGGGCAGGAAGGGGAACTCTGGGTCTCCCCCCATGTCTCAGTCAGCTGGAGGCAGTGGCAGTGATAGCACCACAGCACCCCTGCCCTACAAATACCTGATTCCACCCCAGCTCTTTGGTGTCTTCAGCCAGCTTGTGCGTTTCAAACACTCCTAATTGACATTCACCCCATGGTCTGAAGGGCAATATGCCATATTCCCTTTTAGGAAATTCTAGATCCATGGACACAGACCACCTCTGTATTGACAATTCACATGTGTCAGCAGTACTGGATGGAGAATGAACCAGGTCAGAATACATGGCTGCTATGGTCTTATTTAAGTGATTTGGAAAAAGTGAGAACAGGAAAAGGAATTTCTTCAATTAAAAAAAAAATCAAAAAACAAAAAAACCCCACCTAAAATGCTAGGATTACTAGCCAAAACAAGGACTGAATTTCATCAAAGTTTTTGTTGTTGGGTTTTGTTTTTATTTTTGCCTGGATCCCAATTCCATATGTTAAAAGGCCTGCATTCAAAAGTTGAGCTGAAAACTCCACATTTAAGAAGTGACAATTCAGAAGTTAACACTTCATGAAAATTTTACTTGGCTTTCTTGTAACAAACGTATACCTTACAAGATGAGTGGGGGAATGAAGCATTTTTTATATTTAGCTCATTGACTTTTTTTTTTGTTTAGGAGCAGGGCATACAGTCAGATGATTTTTGTTTGCATAGGTCATTTGTATGGCAAGACAAACAAAACTCTCAAAAATTGGCAGGGGCTCATGGCAACCGTAGTAAGCACAAACCCTTAAAAATGTGCAACTTGTGTTATTAAAAGGATGGAGATGT